GAGATCATCCAGGTAACCCAAAACATAAACCCAGAGTACAGTACAGAACCAAGACTAGGTCAAGGACCTTGGTGAGGCCAAATGGGAAAGGCAAGTAATTGGTAATGCTGATCACCACTGCAAAATGCAGATAGCGTTGATGATGAAGATAGGAATGTACAAGCAAACATCCCAAATGTTTACTTAATCCAGAAAATCCCCTGGCAAGAACAAGTTGCGTTTTTTGATTCAGAATGAGTCAGACATCTCCATTTGATTTGGAAACCATAAGCTTTGAGAAGCCCTAAAAGTGTTCTTTTGGTACAGGAGAATCACCTCTTTAGAAAGGAATTGCCAGACAGCAGCAAGAAGTTTTCTGTCTTTGCAAGCTTAAAAAACAAGAGGTGGGCAGGGTACAATGTGCAAGACTCATTTGCAACCACTGAAAATGACACTCTGGACCCAAACATCAGATTTTGTGGGACTAGGTGGTTGACATTTGTCCCGCCACTCTGAGAAGTGGGGTCACCCATCACTTGAAAGAAGTCATGGAACCAGTCTTGGATGATTTGGAGAGCCATGCCTTCTTCTGAAAATATGGCTCTGCGTTAGATTTGGAACTGGAAAATGGAAAAAGGGGCAAAATAAACCTTTCCGAACCTCAGATTTAAATGTCCTACTGGCAGAGTTATGAGCCGTCTTCCTCTGGGGGGAGGAGGCTACTCTTACCTCTGATCTCCTTGACGTACCGAATATAAAAAGGAGATACCAAACAGCTGTTCACCTTTAGAGGGTAACCAGCCAGGAGGTTTTTTGCACAAGAGCTCAATTGACCAGCACTTAGGCCAGCTTCACACAGCCCTTCTGCGCTCTTGCTAAATGGTAGCCAACCCGCAGCTTTCATGCAGGTTAAATGTGCTTTCCCATAGACTTCCGTGAGGCCCTGCAGTTTTAGAAAACCCCCCAAAATTCCTGCATGCTGCATCTTTGGTGTGCTTTCTGGAACCACAGGACATCATAGAAGTCTATGGGAAAGTGCAGCTAACCCACACGTTATCCGTGCTTTGCCTAAAGCACAGTAGGACCGCACAAGGGCAGTGAAGCCACCCATTAAGTGGTTCTAAAGTTAAAAGGTTTTTTTTTTTTTTACCTTACAGTGGTTGTAAACCCTTACATTTAGCCAGTGAAGTGACTAGCCTCAGGTGATACACAGATGAAAAATCCTCCTACATATGTTGTACTTGCTTGTCAGCAGTCTTTTCTACAGCTGTTCAAAGTCCAGAATTAATAAAGCTTGCCTGAACCGTCAAAAAAAAAAAAAAAAAAAAAAAAAAAAAAAAAAAGGGTGTGGAGAACTGAAATTATATTCCACAGAGCTCAGTGAAGAGAGCTTTGAGAGCTGACTGAAGGGAAGGAACAGACCCCACGCCATACAGCTCACAGGAACAGAGCTGAGGCTGTCAATCAGCTGGAGCTCCCTCCGTCACCATTTTTCTCTCGGTGTCAAGAAAACCTGTCAGAATTGATATATACTGATAGCAGAGCAATGAAGCAGTAGACAGAAATGACACTTCGTGCTCTTAAGACAAGTACACAACATAGAAGGATATGCTTTGCTCATATTTCATGTCTGAAGTTTACAACCACTTTATCACATTAAACCCATTAAGGTAAAAAAAAAAAAACCCAAAACACGCTTTCACTAGCTATTTGCTCCCCACTTCCATTATACTTACCTGAGTCCTGTATCAATTCAGCACTGCTCTCTTCCTTGGTCTCACAGGGCAGATTGAAAGCAGTGGAAGTCATTGACTCCCGCTGCTGTCAATCAAATCCAGTGAGGAGTGAGCAGGTGGTAAGGTAAAGCTGCGCTGTGAGCATATGGACAGACACCAATCGGCTCAGGAACAAGGCCGCATGTCTGTCCCCATAACAAGCCACTTGCTATGGGGGTAGACACAAAGAGGAGTGGACAGTGCCAGCAGGAGGAACCCAGAAGAGCAAGTTCTGGCCTGCTCTGAGCATCACCTGTACACAGCAGGTAAATATAAACCTTTTTATTTTACATATAAAAAGAAAAAACAAAAAAAAGAAAAAAAAAAAAAAAAAAAAAAAAAAGCTTTAGAACTACTTTAAGCCAAAAGATCCTGAAAAGAAGATCAATCCTGGAGATCATGACACACACAAGGCGTCAACCAAACCTGAAGCCCCAGAAGGAGCTGCAGTGGCGGTTGTGCAGCAAGACAGCTTGGTCAAAACAAGAGGAAAAAAAAAAAAAAAAAAAATACCTCCCTAGGCAGTAAACTTCTCTTAGCAGAGATAAGAGATCCATCAACTAGGGACACTAGCAAGAAACGGAGGCTAGCTGGGAGTGGGAGGCATCTGTAGGGGAACATCCTCTCATTTTGACCGTGTCCAATCACCTGAAGGTAGCAGCATATAACCCATGATAATGGCTAAAGATCCTGTGTATCATGTAGTATGACTAAGGCATGTTAGTGGGGGTTATGCTTGGCTGACCTACAGTGTCCAATCCTCCTATAGGTGGCAGTATAACACCCCATGTCGGGGGAACAGAGGGGAGAGACATATATACACATACACTGCATCTTTCCTCTCTATACAGAGGGAGAAATGGGCAGCTTCACAGTGACAGCCAGAGGCTACCATAGCAATCAGGTAATCTGGAAATTGGGAGTTCTTGGTCCTAATAGTTTGTACTGAAAGCGTGCCGCACAGAGACTGACACATAGGCATATGTGACCCCACAAAAGAAAGCACAGTCCAGTGGGGCCACACATATGCGTACGTTCTGCACCAAGGGGTTAACCATCCCGGCATTGTTTTTCTCAGATGGCAATGCTAAAAAAAAAAAAAAAAATGTAAAAAGCGATCCTAGCAGCTTATCACTTGCCAAACGCACTATAGCCAAATGATGGCTACAGAACGGTTTTGCCCAGTTCTGGGAGGGCATCATACGACATCCTCCCAGAACACGCCTTTGGCAATCTCCTTGATTGCTGTGTCCTACAGAGACAGCTGATCACGTGATGTGGTAAAAGGCCAATCACAGTGGCCTTTTACCACGTGATCAGCTGTGTCCAATGACACAGCAGATCACCGGTAAATGCAGTTGCCGGTTATTGGCTGCACTTTCCTCACGCTGTCACAGCATGAGGAAAGTACTGCCAATAACCGGCATTTGTCAGAACGGATTGGCACCAATCATCAGTGCAACCCATCATTGTTGCATATCAGTGCCAGCTCTTCAGTGCTGCCTATCCATGCCACCTCATCAATGCAATCAGTGGAGAAAAATTACCTGTTTGCAAAATTTTATAATAGAAACAAACAAAAAAAAATTCTCTTTAAATTTTTGGCTATAGCGCAAAAAATAAAAACACCAAGCAGCGAGTAAATACCATCAAAAGAAAGCTCTATTTGTGTGAAAAAATTTATAAAATTTAATATGGGTACAACGTTGTATGACCGTGCAATTGTCTAAGTGTGACAGCACTAAAAGCTGAAAATTGGCCTGGGCAGGAAGGGGGTATACCTGGTAGGCAAATGGCTAAATTAGCCACGGGGGGGGGGGGTCACTTTTACAGGCAATGGAAGGGGGTCCCCCTCTCCCGTGGCCTTCTGATGCCTTTCCAGGCTCTTCTGTTCCGCCGGGGAACCTGGGACTGAAGCCAGCTGTTCTACTGGCTTACCATAGAGATGACGTAACATCCCCGTTCATCTCTATGGTATAAAACTGGAAGCGATGAGTATTTTGTCACTTTTGGTGTCACTCAGATGTAAACAAGTCATTACTGGCTTGGTAAAGCATCTGACCAAACGGATCTTGGTTTGATCAGATGCTTTTAAAAAGGGCAGAGAAGAGATCTGGGGTCTAATAGACCCAGATCTCTCCATAAAGAAGACCTATCACCGCCCCAGCCATCATATAAGGGATGTTGTTCATCCCTTGTGATAGCAATAAGTGATATATATAAAAAAAAAGTTACAGTGTAACGCAAGTTAAAAATGTAAATAATTCTAGCACAGACCTCCAATTTATTCTAAACTGGTAACCTGTAAAGACTTAACGCGTCATCAATGGAGATTTTAAATACTAAAATATACTAAAATACGTAAATTGTCGCCATTCCACAAGTGTGTGAAATTTTAAAGAGTGACATTTTAGGTATCCAATTACTCAGCATAACATCTAATATTTTACCAAACAACTGTGTATTATATTGTGTTTTTTTTTGCATTAAATTTTTTTTAAATTAAGTTAAAACCTGCTACTCAAATACCATGTGACATAACATTACAAATACCTACCATTTTATTCTCTAGGGCCTTTGCTTAAAAAAAAAAAAAAAAAAACAAAAAAACAAAAACACAACCATATTTGGGGGTTCCAAGTAGTTTTCTAGAAAAACAAAAAGCGGATTTGTATAGTATCAGTATAGGGTTAGGGCCTAAAACGTAAACAGTTTTTGCTATGTGAATTTTGTCGTTTAACCACTTGCCCTCCTGAAGATTTACCCCCCCTTCATGACCAGGCCATTTTTTTGCATTATGACACTGCGTTAAACTGACAATTGCGCAGTCATGCAACGCTGCACCCAAATGAAGTTTATGTCTTTTTCCCATGAATTGAGCTTTCAGTGGTAAGCAAAAAAAGACTGAGAATTTTGAGAACAAAAAATATATTTTGGACTTTTTGCTATTAAAACATGTCTAGTAAAATTTTCTTAAAAAAAAAAAAAAAATCCCAATACACGTAAATGAATTGGTTTATATGAACGTTATAGCGTTTACAAATGGCGGTTTAATATTTTTTCTTCTTTCTACTAGTAATGGCGATGATCAACGACTTTTAGTGGGACTGTGTCAGGCATTCTGACACTGGGGGGAACTAACCTGGTGTCACTGACACCAATACAGTGATCAGTGCCAAACAAAAAAAAAAAAAAAAAAAAAAAAAAAAAAAAAAAAAAAAACACAGACACTGTACTAATGGCACTGGGCAGGAAGGTGCTAATGTGAGGGGCGATCAAAGGGTTAACGGTGTGCTGGGAGTGTTTTACTAGGGGGCGGGAGGTGTGTTCTTCACTGTAAGCACACTGATTGGGATGGCTGTACTGTGCACAGCCATCCCGAGCAGTGTGCTCGAGCTGACAGGGAGGAAGACTGTTTTGTTTACAAACAATCTTCCTCCCAGTCAGAGATTGTCAGTAATCACCGGGCGCCGGTGGGTAAATACCGGCTGGGACCCGGTGATTGACATCCGTGGCCGTGAATGGCAACGTGGGTAGGGCGTGTGCCCCCTACCCAGAAATGCAAAATGGCACGCACATACATTATCTATATATCTACACACGCGATTCTGTGCACAGGTGCCGCCCTGTAACCGTATATCTGCTATAGGGTGGTCCTTAAGCGGTTAATCCACTCTCCAAAGATCAGCCTGTTCGTAAAAATTCCGACAGTACACTGAACAGAGAAAATCAAGTTGGGAGAATGCCATCATGAAAGATTAGGAATAAAGTGAAAGCAGGACCATTGCAGACTTTCCGATGGGTACCCTTTCCATACATTTCCAAGATTCTCTACATAAAACAAACAATACCAAGATGTCCTGTTTTATGTAAACCCAAGGAGCTGCCAGACTATCAAGCCGATCCTCTTGCCTCAGTGCTCACCGTTGTGGAACATGTAAGCAGATCATAAGTTGCAACTTCGGTTTTAGGCTACTGGTTCCAGGACAGTGAGTCAAAGCAGTGAAATCCCACCCACCTAGGTATTAGGCATTTAGTATTTTGAGGAAGAAAGTCATGGTGGCCTTCCAGAAATCCTTTAAAACTAAACACACTAAAAACATTTACATTTTTTTTTTTAATTTTTAGAACATTTCCATGCATAACATTATATTATCCCAGTAGACCAGACTGTATATCCAAAAGGCATTCTGCATTTTTGCTGTGAAAACATTAATGCAAATAATATCTGGAAAGGACAGCTGAACATTGAGCTAAGAGTTTACACTCTAGAAACTGGGATCAACTGTTTGTAGCCTCAACCATTAAAAAAACAAACAAAAAAAAAAACAAAAACTGTACATGAACTTTTACTAACAACATAAATTACAAGCTCCTGGTAGGAGCTTTCACAGTAGTCTGTGAGACAAATGCTAATACTGGAATGGAACACCCCACTCCTTCAGTCGTCACAGTTCCAGGCGGCATAGTCCAAAATAGCCAGTTCAAGGCGGCATTGTCCATCACAGCCCTACATCAGCTCAAGCATCACAGGATTTTCTTCAGTGCCTCTGGCATCACTGACCAGTCACTTGTGAGTATGCAGAACACATCCTGTTCACCCCTCAAACAGAGTGACATGGCTGGGGTCACCGCTCTGGTTCTGGCTCACATTGAGAAATTCGCACTTTTTCTGAACAGTGTTTTTTGTGGGCAGGCCAGTCCTTCTGTTGACACTGGGTACCGCAGTATCTTGCTAGTTGACATCTACCGCATATGTTAAATTCACGCAACTAAGGAAAAAAAAAAAAAAAAAAAGTTATGGCCATTACCAAAAATTAACCATTTTCCTGCTGGAGACACTTTCACCCCTTCCTGACCAGGCCAATTTTCAGCTTTCAGTGCGATCACACTTTAAACAATAATTGCGTGGTCATGCAACACTGTACCCATATGAATTTTTTAGCTTTTTTTGAGACATAAAAATTTTGGTGGTATTCACCATTGGGATTTTTATTTTTTTTTGCTATATAAATGAAAAAGTTCAAACATTTTTTTTAAAAAAAAGGTTTTTTTTTTTAAACTAAAATTTTGCAAATAATCTTTCATAAATCTTGGCCAAAATTAATTCAGTTATTTTTAGAGAGAACCCCCCCCCCCTCCCAATTAGTTTATAACCAAAAATTATAATTTTTCTAAATTTTTATTTTATATTTATGTTTTTTTTAACATACTGTCACCCAGCAGTACAGTGTCACCATAGTGACACTGTACTACTTGGGGGTGAAAAATTTTTTTTTTTTTTTTTTACAGACTGCTTTTACACCCATAAAGGCTGTAAAAGCAATTATTTCTCCTCCTCTGACTGCATTCTTGTAGCCACTGAAAAATACCGTGAGAGCCGTGATTGGTCACAGCTTGTCACATGATACAAGGCTGTTGTGAATAGCCTTGTACCATGTGACCTCTGTCTTCATTCACAGATTTCACAAGTAGTAAGCAGCATCAGGAAGTGACATCTTGTTTACTACTATTCATATCACGGTTCCACGGTGAACATGATCACGGATTGGCCAATCAGTGATCACATGAACCAGGACATCACACAGAGGTCTCGTACAGCGATCGGTGTTCTGGAGGACACAGCGGGCACCGGATCGTGGTCCCACGCACTCCCAGGGAGCGCACACATGTGAATGCCGGCTCCCGTCCGGCTGTTTATGTACATGGGTCGGACGGGAAGTGGTTAAAGAAACGTTTCATGTACAACACATTTTTTAATTTATATAAAAATATTATGTTTACATGAAGATTAAATACAGTCACTGTGGTGCCTCAAAAGTTCTGCCTCTTACAAGTTCAATCTATAGAAATAAGACAGATGACCTTGGGAGCAGGATTCATGAATGCTCCCATGAGGGAAGTAAAGGGGTTAACTTTCCGTCTGGTGACAAGTTGCTGGCTCTGTTTGCGCTGCACCATTATATATAAAATATTGTACAGTGCAATGCTTACCTGAACGAGGGTCAACTTTAACCAGTTGCCCTCCGCCCTATAGCAGCAATACTGCTACAGGGCAGCGAAAAATCACGTGCGTGTATATTATATATACATACAAACGTACACACATATACATATATACACACACGTGATTCCCTGTCGGTACCCAGCGATCTAAGCACAGGTCTCTCTCCTGCCAGCAATAACATCCTGCTGTGTATTACACAGCAGCATGTTTCCCTAGTAAAACACACAGCACATACAGTAAAAAAGCACACAGTTAACCGCTTGATCGCCCCAGATGTTAACCCCTTCCTGCCCAGTGTCAGTGCTTTTTATTAGCACTGATCACTATTAGTGTCACCGATACTGGGTGGGAACTAACTGCCACTGTTATCCCAGAATGCCCGCAGTAGTCCTATAAGTCGCATATATCTATCTATCTTTGTAGACGCTGTAACTTTCACGTAAACCAATTTACACATGTTGAGTTTTTTTTCTAGCAAAGACATGTAGCAGAATACATTTTGGCCTAAATTTATGACAAAATTTGATTTACATTTTTTACTGGATATGTTTTATAGAAGAAAAAAAAAAATGTTTCTTAAAATGGTCAGTCCTTTTTTGCTTATAGTGCAAAGCATAAAAGCTGCACAGGCGATCAAATACCACCGAAAGAATGCCATTTGTGGGAAAAAAAAAAAAAAATAAAATTTAATTTGTACAGCATTGCATGACCGCGCAATTGTCAGTTAAAGTAACACACCACCGTATGCAAGAAAAATGGCCTGGTCAGGAAGGGGGGGTAGATCCTCTGGAGGGCAAGTGGTTAAAGCCATGATTAAGGGTGTAGAAGGAATAAGGAAATAAAAAGTCAAGTACAATATAGAACTGAAGCACTATTTGATGTTATCAACAAATGTTTGTTTTCAGACACCAGCAACTAAACCGAACTGTATAAATGAAAAAAAGCTGCTAGCTGATCATTCAGATGGCCCATACCTGTTTCTCCATCATGGTGCAAGGAGGATAATGACACTCATAATATGTGCAGGAGTTCTCCTCCTCCCGTACCACTTCTCCATTAGCGTTGTAACAACGGGTGACATTCAGCAGTGGAAACAAATCTTCTATGGGGTCTGTGGGAAGCTGTTGTATAGCCAGCCAGTAGAGAGACTGTTCCCTATAATACAAGAAAATGTACATGAGATGCCAGCCTGCCCTCCATCCTAGCCATGTTCCATTTTCAGCACCCAAAAGGGCCTTTTTAATGCAGCACAGTAAAATTATAGAACTCCGAAACCTTGAAAATGGATTTTAGGGCAGCCAGAATTATGTCTTTTCTTTACCTTTGCTTGCTGGACACCTCCTCTAATGCAGGTTTCCAGCCCCGTGGAACCACTTGTAGATTGTCCAATCTGTTATCAACCGTAATACCATTTAAATGTAGCACCTGGAATCCGGGAGCAATGCCACCTTTGTGCTTTTGCCTGGAAAACAGTGTTACAAACATAGAATGTTAGTCTTCCGCTATACAAATCAAAAAAAAAAAAAAAGTTGCAGAGAACCTAAAGATTAGGAAAACCACAGAATTTGGAGAAGGTAGGCACAAGCCTGTTTTAAGTGAGGGTTTTGGTTATTTTGAAAGGGTGATATTTAATCCTGCCTCCAATACTGACACCACACTCATTCATACAAGCTAGGGAGGTTGCATCCAATCCCCTATAGTGGGGAGGGACATGCACTCAATGGCAGTGCTGGGAGGGACTACTCAAATCCAGAGTATCCACTCTGTTATTCAGCACCGCAGTTGATAGACAAAAACCATCAACAAAAATCCAAGATAAAAAAAAAAAAAAAAGGGAGGAAAATAAATAGTGCAACCTACTCCTGAAGAGGATGCAAAAAAATAAAAATCTCAACACACATCCTGAAGATGGGGGTGGGGGTTTTGGTTTGGCCACCTCCAGAGGGCTGCTCTATGGGCGTGCTTTTAGCATAGTTACACCTAGCACCCTGATCTTGTAGGTTGGGGACATAAAACAAACACTTCAGAATTCATCCTGCTGCTTTTGTCAGCAGTCACATCATCAATAAATACAAGAGAACCAGTTCCATTGGCAGCCATACATGCCCACGCCATGACACTACCACCACCATGCTTCACTGATGAGGTGGTATGCTTAGGATCATGAGCAGTTCCTTTCCTTCTCCATACTCTTCTCTTCCATCATCACTCTGGTACAAGTTGATCTTGGTCTCATCTGTCCATAGGATGTTGTTCCAGAACTGTGAAGGCTTTTTTAGATGTCGTTTGGCAAACTCTAATCTGGCCTTCCTGTTTTTGAGGCTCACCAATGGTTTACATCTTGTGGTGAACTCTCTGTATTCACTCTGGTGAAGTCTTCTCTTGATTGTTGACTTTGACACACATACACCTACCTCCTGGAGAGTGTTCTTGATCTGGCCAACTGTTGTGAAGGGTGTTTTCTTCACCAGGGAAAGAATTCTTCGGTCATCCACCACAGTTGTTTTCCGTGGTCTTCCGGGTCTTTTGGTGTTGCTGAGCTCACCTGTGCGTTTTCTATTTAAGAATGTTCCAAACAGTTGTTTTGGCCACGCCTAATGTTTTTGCCATCTCTCTGATGGGTTTGTTTTGTTTTTTCAGCCTAATGATGGTTTGCTTCACTGATAGTGACAGCTCTTTGGATCTCATCTTGAGAGTTGACAGCAACAGATTCCAAATGCAAATATGACACTTGAAATGAACTCTGGACCTTTTATCTGCTCATTGTAATTGGGATAATGAGGGAATAACACACACCTGGCCATGGAACAGCTGAGAAGCCAATTGTCCCATTACTTTTGGTCCCTTAACAAGTGGGAGGCACATATGCAACTGTTGAAATTCATACACCGTTCACCTGATTTGGATGTAAATACCCTCAAATTAAAGCCGACAGTCTGCAGTTAAAGCACATCTTGTTAGTTTCATTTCAAATCCATTGTGGTGGTATATAGAGCCCAAAATTTTAGAATTGTGTCAACGTCCCAATATTTATGGCCTAACTGTATAGTCCTTGTGATCTTGCTGTGCTGGAAAATATATACGCTCACCTCACTATATAGCCCAACAATTAAGCAAGGCTATATGAACTTTTGTCCTTAACTGGACGAGATATGGGTATCCAAATTGTAATCCTGTATGTGAATAACGATGAATGGACTGTGATGATGTTCTCCTTCCACTGGAGGTCTCCTGATCTCCCTTCTGGACTGTGAATGTGGGATGGATGGATGTGGATTTCTCCCCTTGTCCTGCATTGGTCTATCTCCTATTTCCTCCTCTCCCCTTTTTTTCCTCCAGTTAGTGCATGAAAAAGGAGTTTCCACATAGCCTTATCCTTGTGTAAAATGTTATTGTATACAACACAATGCACACTCACATGGAAATTGAAAGGTATATATAGCGTTTTTGTAATAGGCTATGCCTTAGTGTGTGCACGTGCACACTAACCGTACTCTCCTTTCTCTGGCTAGGTTGGCGTCATGACGTCAGAGCCCCTCCCCTACGTGTTGCGCCACAGGGTCACGTGGCATTGAATCCCCCTGAGGAAGCCACGTAACACTGTGGCGCACCGCGTAGGGGAGGGGCTCTGACGTCATGATGCCAACCTAGCCAGAGAACGTCGAGTACTGTTAGTGTGCACGTGCACACGCTGAGGCATAGCCTAACAGTACTCGCCGTTCTCTGGCTAGGTTGGCGTCGTGACGTCAGAGCCCCTCCCCTACGCGTTACGCCAGTGTCACGTGGCTTCCTCAGAGGGATTCAATGCCACGTGACCCTGTGGCGCAACACGTAGGGGAGGGGCTCTGACGTCACAACGACAACCTAGCCAGAGAACGGAGAGTACGGTTAGTGTGCACATGCACACACAGAGGCATAGCCTATTACAAAAACGCTATATACCTTTCAATTTCCACGTGAGTGCGCATTGTGTTGTATACAATAAAATTTTACACAAAAGGATAAGGCTATGTGGAAACTCTTCTTTTTCATGCACTAACTGGAGGAAAAAAAGGGGAGAGAAGGAAATAGGAGACAGAACCCTGCAGGACAAGGGGAGAAATCCACATCCATCCATCCCACATTCACAGTCCAGAAGGAAGATCAGGAGACCTCCAGTGGAAGGAGAACATCATCACAGTCCATTCATCATTATTAACATACAGGATTACAATTTGGATACCCATATCTCATCCAGTTAAGGACAAAAGTTCATATAGCCTTGCTTAAATGTTGGGCTATATAGTGAGGGGAGCATATATATTTTCCAGCACAGCAAGATTACAAGAACTATATATTTTTATTCATTTTTGTTTCACATTACTTATTCATTTTTTCATATATTCTTTTTTTGTCACCGATTCACATTTATATATTTTTTTTTCACTGGTATTATATATTCATTTTTGATATTACGTTTATGTGATCACTTTATATATTTTTTTCCAGAGTTCCAGTATTATTTAGACAGTTTTACAGATTGCATTTATTATAACTACCCTTTATTAATTTTCTTTTTTGATGTATTATAGCACACAGGTGTTTATATTTATTGATTCATCAGAGTGATTTTTGATCATTTTCTTTACATTTATATTAGGTTTGAGTAAGGTTGTATATTGTGGAGGAGGATTGATTAGTAATAGGGGATTGATCACATTATAAACACATGATTTTTTAGGTGGAGCATGACACACTATAATTACTTATTTTTACTTATTACTTATTTTTTTACACAGTTTATGAATATGTGTATTAGTGTTGATGCACCATCACATTCACAATAGTTAATTTATATTGTTTTGCATTAATATCGCCATAGTGGCTCACAAGCATTCACTTTTCATTAAATCACAAAGCATGGCTGTGTCCTTCAATGAACAAAAGAGCAAGTTTGGGTTCACTTACAGTAATGTTAGGTGTTGAGTTTAGCGTCTCACTAAGATGCTGAGTCGACTGTTGGTCCAGACATTTGGGTGGATCCCGAATGTAAAGTCTGGATCTTTCCTGAGCCTGTACTGGCAGAGTGAGGTCAGCCGAGAATAGGCTTTAGCCCGCAGTCCACTGAAAACCAGTCACACGAGTGCAGGACAAATGGCACTCCTGTGATCCTCAGAAGAAGTATAGCAAAAGAGCTTTGGCTACACTTCTCCTTAAGTGCTCACAACACTTAATTTTCAAAAAAAGTTTTGCTTTTACATAAAAGAATACAACCCTCAAATTATCAGCTCACTGAGAGACCATAAAAATATATTGTATATGCATCACATAGGTGGATTTACTCAATTATTTTCTCTACAGGACTAGAATACTTCTACAGCATGACATGATTTTCCCTGATTCCCTCAGCCCCTTCAGAAATTTTTTGTTTTTTTTCACACAATATGCAAATGCTCCAACAATGTTCCCTGAAAGTAAATTGGTGTTGTGCTGACCGGTGCAGCCTCTTTTGCAAAGTCCATGCGCAGAAAAAGTGACACCAGCAGTAAACAAAGTAACATACATTGTTTTGGCAGTATTTTTCTGCCAGCTTGCTAATGTTATGAAGAAAAGTTAATGCGATTTGGAAAATAATGTTATACTTACCTATCGTGTGCAGTGGTTTTGCAGAGCAGCCTGGATCATCATCTTCTCCTCTGGTCCCCCGCAGGCTCTCCTGGCCCCTCCCTCCTGTTGGGTGCCCCCACAGCAAGCAGAATGTGTCCATTCACACAGGGAACCGTGGCTTGACCCCGCTCCCCTTATTGGTTGACTAACAGCAGCAGGAGCCAATGGCTCCCACTTGCTATCTCAGCCAATGGACAGCCAGAGACCCGGGACAGCTGAGGCTGGTCGTGCACATCGCTGGATCGTGATGGGGCTCAGGTAAGTATTTAGGGGGCTGGGGGCACTGCTGCACACAGGTTTTTTTAACTTCATGTACAGAATGTATGAAGATAAAAAACCTTGAGCCTTTACATCCACTTTAAAAGCAATGTAAACAAGCATAAAATGAAATTTCATTTGTTAACTACAGAACCTGCTTTTACTATGAACCCTGCTGCATAGTTCAATACATACCACAGCAACTCTTGAAGCGGGCACCCAGAACCCCTTCCTTTGCACTTGTCAAATGCATAGGCATATATCTTAGCCCCATTGCCATCAGCATCCACTTCCATTCGAGCCTGAAACAGAAGGGTATAAGTTAGCCACTAATTCAACTGCTTGGTAAAAGTGAGACAGTCATCTAGATCAAGAGAAGGGAGGAGCCTAACCTGCAGAAGTACAACTGTTGTCACACTTTCATGGGAAACAGTTACCACCACCTCCTTCCTTCCACTTCATGCATTACCATGCCAAGATCCCTTTACACCAGAGGGGGAAATCATATGCTATCCAATACAACTGAAGTTTTGGATAGCAGCAGTACCCACAGCACCACCAGAGAGACACCACTGGCTGGACTATAACGTTGTGCTTGCATTTAATTTTAATTATAGTTACAGGGTCCCTTTAAGATTTAACACACTCAGATATGTTAAAATGTATATGGAAACCTGTTCAAACCGTATTTAGGGCTCGTTCACACCATATACAGTGACCTGGGTTTTTCTGAAGCTAATCGACACAGGTCACATAAGAAATGTTTTTTCTATTATTTGTCCTATTCACACCAAATTACTGCCTTCAGGTGGGCTGCAGTGCATTGCCCAAACATGCTGCTTTCTTATGCAACGTACCGCAGCCCACCAGAAGTCTCGTCAGTCACTGCACCACAACTGCACAAATCCTCACCACTGCTACACTTCAAACGAAAGCCTGCGTGGAAAATTGGATCATTTAAGCATGCAGACTGGCATGAAGTCTAATTTTTGACCTCTTGCAGATCTACAGTCACGGCTCATATCAAAACACTTCCAGGTATATCATATGCCATGTCCCCACTGTGAATCCACCTGAAACATCACTAGAAGTGATGACCAGCTAGAGGGTGAACACCACAGAAAAGAGATGCAGTATCTGATGCACCTGGATACCGGCAACCATAACTCTAGAAGAGAGCAAAGATTTGAATCATCACTTTCTGGTACGTATTTGCAATCATCTTTTACAGGCTGCCTGTATGTCAATTGCTTTTTGGCTAGCATCAGGGTCACTTTAAGAAAAGGCAAAATGGACCAATTTGCTTTGAAGACCCTTTCCACCCAAAAATATTTCAGTTTTATTAAACTGTATTACCTACTTGTTTAAGTTTTTTGTGGACTCCAACAACAACCTTCTGATGCTACAGTTGCCAACTCTGTACCTGATCACCTTGGAGTATTGCTTTACCTACTACAATTTGGGCTCCTATTTCACATACTACATTGTATTTAAAGTGGAACTTCACTGCATCTGAGCACTAAATACCAACGATGCTATTTAATTCAAAGCAAAACGTGCCCATCCATTCATATCTCTATGCTTTATTTTGTTGAGAAATCACTGTGAAAAAAAAAAAAAAAAAAAAAAAACCTCCAAGCATTTCTGACCATGGCCAACTTGAGTAAGGGCAGATGACTGATGTAGCAATTACTTCCTGGAGCCCACCTGCTCTTAGCTCAGGCATGCAGAGAGGAGGGTGAGCTTTGCTGGGAAAGCTCCTCCTCAAGACTCCTGGAATGTATGACATCATTTGCCTAGGCCTGGAAACCAGGAACTGAAGAAATGTAAAAAAAAAAAAAAAAAAGTTTAAAAACAAGTAAATATACTATACCTTCCTATCTATTATTGCTAGAAGCATAAGGATTTAGTGTATGCAGTGTTGATTGAGAGAGCGAAGTTCCGCTTTAAGTTAATATTCCAATACCAATAGTGGGAGCTCCTCAAACCAACTTCGCTAGGTGGGAAGACCTGGGAAATTAGGTGCAGAGATCTCACCACCATTGTCCTTGAGGGATATATGAATTTATTAGGTTGAAGAACATGTCACCATCTACCAAGAACTGGAAAATCTGTTCTGGGTGGACTGATTTAAATGTCCTGAAAAGACTTACTTCAAATGAATAGCTGTCCACAAGAGGGATGTCTTGCTCATCAATTAGTGTATACTTGATCTAAAAAACAAAACAAAAACAACTGTCATTGAATAAATCAAGCCTTTAAACTTAGCAGTAGTAATAACGCTTTCAATAAGTAGGGAAAAAAAAAAACCCAAACACAGCATTTCCTGCAGTGTCAGGAGAAAACTGACAGTGTATCTGAACAGACACGTCTATGGTCAATCTGTCAGTCAGGTGAGCAGGAATAAGAATGGGAAGGGAAGCCTCAAACCAATTAAGGGGAAAGGTGATAGTGGAGGTTGTCACTAGACAAACATCAATGAAATTGTAAAAGGCTTACCCACATTTAAAACACAAAAACACACTGTAAATACCAAAGTATTCAAGATTAAAAATTAATGAACTATATGGACTTGGAACTCACAAGGTCCCTGAAAAACATAAACAATAAATATGGATTGAAAGCTTGAGAACAGTGCTGGGATCACTAAAGATTGGGTGGAGACACACCCAGCCTCTGAACATTTTATAGATCTTGTACAATCCCAAACAAGATCTCGCAGCATTATTTTCCTATATACAATGCTCTTTTTACATTTACTAAAGTGTACCTATACTTTATTTTTTGCTTTGGATAGAAAAGTTAGACCCCCTGTTAGGTTCACATCTAAGCGGTTTTTCTACAGTTGCGTTTGCTTGAATAAATCAGAATACTTAATTATTCCAAAAGAGAATGGGCTGCTGCACCCACCAAAACAGTCCTTGTACCTTTTTAAAAAGCACAGACTGAAAGAAACCCGCACAGTGCACTGCAGTTTCCAGTGCGTGGGGGTGCCATTAGGATTAATGGTACTCCCACACATCTCCTAAACTGCATTACGTTTTTAGTGTGGGAAGGAGTATGAACCTAGCCTTAGGGGTTATTGCTATTTGGGGCCCCATTGGATATGTACCCTCAGCAGATGCAATTAGGACTTCAACAAACTTACCAACATTTTTATATAAACCAGCTATGCAAAATTCATGAGAACGCAGTCACCTCAATGTCATTGTTCCCTGCTGGTTCGAAGACCGAGCTGAGCAATTTAATTGCTGATTGGTCAGTTGTCAGTCTTGTCTGAGTGGAGAGCAATGACTGCACTCATTGAGGAGGCAGTAGGTGCAGCTGACTTCAGCTATCAGCCATGCACTAAGGGTTGAAACAAGCTGTCAATCAGGCAGCTGGATGGATCCTGACAATGTGGACCTTTAGCCCACTGCTAGTTGATTCTGAAAAACGCAGTGCAGTCCTGTGAGCCACAAGAAAAGTGTTGCCAAAAAAATCTGTGGCCACACTGCTCTTTTAACCCCTCACTCTTTGGATGTATGTAGTCTGTCCAAAGAGTTGAACTAGTTGAACTACGGATGCATCTCTCAAGCAGTTCACCTGAATTAGGAAATGGCAATTAAGCAGAAATCATTACAATGCCTCTAAACAGAGAAACAAACTATTCAACACAATCAATGTGTACCAAAATCAGGCAGGCTCTTGCACTCCATATTTGTTGGTAGATCGAAAGAAGATTGTACAATCAGGTTGTAATGTGTATGGGGAAAGCCTTAGTATCCAAAACAGAATGTGCACTGTGCCAGAGCTACAAGGTCCACAATTCATTTTCCATTTATTGTTTGTCAGTGCAGACTTCAATCTAAAAGAATGGATGGGGGGCGGGGGGAAATACAATTCATATTTCTGACACTATGATAAATGAGACTGTGTGTGACAGTGACTAGAATAAAGACCAGACATTCCCTAACTGGCAGAGCACTGTAGCTCACACCAGCGTATGATATGACAGAGCATCCGCCAATAGAGGACAGTATGAAGTGACCCCGCATGGCCGCCTGACAGCACACGGGGCAGAGTTCCACCTGGTGGTGGCTTGGGATAAATACATGAGATCACAAATGAAAGTGTAGCCACCCATGGTAGGCTACAAATCATTGACATTAGCCCTGTGCCCTCTGGCAGCATTGCCTGGTAATATTAGATCTTATAGCCACAAATGTAAAACGTATCAAACCCCTCCAATCCCCATGGTCATGTACACTATAGGCTTGGCATGGTCATATGTTGGTAAACAGAACAAGCAGCAGATATCACATCTGTCACACAAAGCCTCTTTTCGTGGGTATTAGAGGTCATGTTAACCACTTACCCTCCAGAGGATTCACCCCCCTTCCTGACCAGGCCACTTTTTGCGATACAGCACTGCGATACTATAACTGACAATTGCACGGTCATGCAGCGTTGTACATAAATGAAATGTCCTTTTCCCCCCCACAAATAGAGCTTTCTTTTGGTGGTATTTGATCACCTCTGCAATTTTTATTTTTTTGCCCTATAAAACAAAAAAGGCTGACAATTAAAAAAAACAAAAAAAAAAAAAAACAAAAAATCACATAGGGGACTTTTTAAAAAGTCCCTTATGTGATAAAAAAAAAAAGTAAAAATTTTTTTATTTTTAAAAAAATTAAAGTTACACCTAAGCATTTAAACCCCCCCCAAAAAGTTTTTTTTTATTCAAGACCTCCCACATATGTATGCACATACAAACAAAAGCACGCACTGGGGAGCTTACGCATTAAAGTGTCGATTACTGCGATATGTAACGTATCACACACACCAGAGTGAGAGCAATAATTCTAACAACAGACCTCCGTAATGCTAAACTGATGAATATAAGGGGCTTAAAAGCGTCACCTATAGAAAATATAAGGTACTGAAATTTGTTGCCATTTTACAAGCGCGTGCAAATTTAAGGTTTGACATGTTGGATATCTATTTACTCAATACAACCTCATCTTTTATATTTTACAAAAAAATTGGATAACTTATTGCTTTTTGTACCCTAAAATGTACTTGTATTTTGTACTGAAATTTTGCATTTGTTAGACCTTTGTGATAATATCGTGTGACAAAAAAAATTGGAACTACCGCTTTTTTACTCTATAGGATCTCTGATTTCAGAAAAAAATATGTTTGGGGGTTTTGTGTAATCTTCAGGCCTTAATTTTTTTTTAACATGTGCAAAAACGGCTCTTGCAACAAAAGGGATAAAAGATAAGCCAGACACTCCCCTTTCTTGACAAGCACCCAGTCGGTGCTCATTGCCGTGCAAGGTCTCTCCCCTCCCTGTTAGTGTTGGAGACAGGCAGAGAGGGGAGGAGGAGATAAACAGTGCAATGTTAAAAATGTTAAAATCGCCATACAGCCCTTTTGTTTTTAAAAGCCCCAGACGTTCCTTAAAGTAGATTTAACCATTTGCCGCCCGCCCTATGGCCGAATGGCGTCCGGCAAATGTCATCAGCGTTGCGGGTGGACGCCATATGGCGTCCTCCCGCACATGCGCAGATTGCGCTCCTGCAGAGCCGCACAGCGGCGCGATCTGTCACCGGCCGTGTACCTCGGAAACAGCCGATGACAGATCTGAGAATTGGCCCCCGTTGCCAGTACCATGTGACCTGCTGTGACCAATCACAGCAGGTCACATGACAGTTGTATACAATGGATGGCCTCATTCCTGCCATCCATTGTATACTAGTGTCTAGCTGTGAATGGTCACAGCTAATCACATGCACATGTCATGTGATTAGCTGTGGCCAAATCACAGCTAAGCACAAAAAAAAAAAAACAAAACTGAATGAATCGATGTCATTCGGGCAAATGCTTGCTTATAGCAAAGTAATTCTTTGCTTTAAGCAGATTGTGTAAAAAAAAAAAAATACTGATCACTTCCCCAAAGTAGTACAATGTTACTATGGTAACATTGTACTACTTTGGTCATAGTGAAATATGGGAAAAAAAAAAATCTTAAAAAAATGTAATAAAAAAAAAAAAAAAAAAAATTTTTTTTTCTTCCATACTGTCACCAGTCAGTGTCCCTGATCACTGCCATGCCAGTTATATGATGACGCTGTACTGCACTGGTGACAATATGTAAAAAAAAAAAAAAAAAATTGTGAAACTAATTTTTTTAATTTTTTCATTTTCCGAAAAATAACAAAAAAAAATACAACTTCAAAAAACTCGCCATGCCTCTTATGAAGTACGTTGGACTGTCCACTCTGCAAAAAGGGGTCATTTGGGGGATATCTGTACTATTCTGACATTCTTGGACCTCAAGAAATTTGATTGGCCGTCAGTACTTCAGAATTGATCAATATTCAGATCTATACCATAGTTTGTGAACGCTATAACTTTCCTACAAACTAAAAAATACATCCTAATTTGGGTTATTTTCACCAAAGACATGTAGTAGAATACATCTCGGCCTAAATTTATGAAGAACGATTATTTATTTGCAAACTTTTATAACAGAAACAAAGAAAAATGTGTGTTTTTTTTCTCAAAATTTTTGGTCTTCTTTTGTTAATTTAGCAAAAAATAAAAACCCCAGCAGTGATTAAATACCACCAAAAGAAAGCTCTAGTTGTGTGAAGAAAAAGATAAAATTTTAGTTTGGGTACAATGTTGTATGACCGCGCAATTGTCATTCAAAGTGTGAGAGCGCTGAAATCTGAAAACTGGCCTGGGCAGGAAGGTGTAAAATTGCCCGGTATTGAATTGGTTAACCTCCCTGGCGGTATTCCCGAGTGTAGCTCGGGGTAAAGTTTCAGTACCACAAGCGGTAACCCCGAGCTACACTCGGGCTTACCATGCAGCGCTGCTCCGCGATCCCTCGATCACTTACCTTGTCCTGCGCTCCCGCGATGTCCCTCCTGCAGTGTCCCCGGCAATGTAATCCGTCGGATACCGGCATCTGTCATCTGGGTTCCGTCCTCTGCGAGCGTCGGTATGTACGGGGGACAGAACGGCGGGAAATTTGAAAATTACAAAAAGTGACATTCACTAAAATCACATAGTAAAACATTACTGTATCAAACCATCTCACATACATTTTGTCCCGAGTGCTTTGTCTTGTACCCTGCCTGCATTTTTACTGTTCTTTCTGCCTTGAAACTGAGAAAAGTCCATGGCGTCCAAAAAGTGTCCCTTTAGGTCAAATGCGGTTTTAGACCAACTAGAGAACAGCGATAGTAAATCAGAACTACTTGCAGAATTGAGTGATAATGATTCGTGGGGAAATTAGTCATCACACACTGAAAACGATATTGCGACTTTGCTCAGTGATGTGCGAACTTTGCTCTCAATTTAAAATTTCAGTGTTTTTGGTTTGATTATATTATTGAATTAAATTTATTATTATTATATTATTTTTTATGATTATTTATTAAATTATAATTTATGATTTCGTGTTTCAAGTTTTATCATACCCGGGATGTTTACTAGACTCTTGTTCGGACAGATTTCAGTGAGTTATTCCTAAAAATTACAGGCCTACAATAAAAAAAATACATATTTCCATGCAAAAAAATGTACCGCTTTGAGCACAGAAATATGGACATAATCAGACCGCTAGGGAGGTTAAATACGGTTTTGGTTAAAATTTTGTTATTTTTTTTTTTTTTTTTTAACAGGACAAGTAGATTGGGACACCGATTTAGTTCCTGGACGAGTCGTTTTTCAAAAATTTCCACACCCCTGACTGACACTGGGCAGGAAGGGGTTAAAATCTGGGGCAATCAAAGGGTTAACTTTGTGCTGTGTGTGTTTAAGGCTCCATGCACACTGGGTGTTTTACTAATGCTGGTAACATTCGCTGTGTAAAATCATGTTAAAAATGCAGGTTTTTCAGCAAATTTGCACTGGTGTTTAGCTGTGTTTTAGCAATTTGTTTTAACCCAAAAAAAAAAGCCCAAAAATGCCGGTTTGCCGCATTAGAGCATTTTTACAGCTAAAAATCTCCTCTAGAAACCCACTAGCTCTGGGGTTTTTTTCCTGCCAAAAAAATGCAGATTCCAGCCTGTGTGCATGGACACATAGGATAACATGCTGGGGAGTTTACTGGCTGTAGGGAAAAAAACACCAAAAGCAGCCCGTGTGCATGAGGACTAACTATGTAGACAAACTGCTTTGTATTGCTGTGCACAGCAATACAAAGCAAACTGCTCCTGAAGTGAGAGATCAGTATTGTTTACATACGCACCTCTCCCATCAGCTCCGCCAACAATTACTGAGTCCTGGCTGAGAATCGGTGGCCGGGAGCCAGTTATTGACATGCCAAGGAGCCAATAGCAGCGCGTGTAGGGAGTGCGTGTGCCTCCTACCCTGACATAAAACACACACACACACGTGATTTTTCGCATACCTGCTGCCCTGTAGCAGTACTTCTGCTATAGGGCGGTCGGGCAGCACTTAATGAACAATGGTGCACTGGATATCTCCATGTACTATACAGAAGGCAGTCATCTGGTGGCAGTGCATAGTAAAGGAGGTAGACTATTCCATACGTCTGCTCTGTGCAGGTAACCATGCCTGGCCACTGAGTCAGGAGAATGTAGAAGGCCCCCTGACCTCAACAGGTGACACCTCTAGTAGCAGTGCTCAATATAAGGGGATGACATGCCTTTACCCAGCACAGGAGAGCTCCCCCTGGTGGTAGAGTACAGTGATGATACCCTGCACAGGTGACAGAGCTCCCTTTAGATCAGGGCTCAGCAAATCCCGGGTGCCCGGTCACCATGGTGACCAGAAATTGTGTACCAGCACCTAGGCTCCCACCAGCCCATCCACCGCTGCCATCAGGTGTGAGCAACTTCTCAGGCAGCCGCCCACTGAGCTCTTCACCTTCTCTACTGGCCGCCTATTACAGGCCTACCTTGCTTGGGGAAGCGATGAGTGGGCAGCCTGTCAGCCACTCCCCTCTCCATTGGCCAGGGCTTCCCACCCCCTTTTAAATCTCCCACCAATCAGAAAGGGAGCTGGAGACAGTGGCTTCTCCGATTGGCTGGCTGGAAAAATGGCAAGGATGGCATATGGAAGAGCTGACAGTGAGCCCCGGATCTGCCCAATGGCCAAGAGTGATCTGGCCAAGCCAAGCAGGGAGGGAAGCCCGAGGAGGGGCCCCCCATGAGCTGGTTGAACTCTGCTCCCCAGGTGCCTCTGCCTTTCTGTGGTCTCTGCATTCTCCCCTGCCAGGCATCTCTCCCCTCCCCCCCCCTGGTGGACAGTGATATCCTGCACAGTGGAGTACACTCCCCCTGGTGGAAAGAACCCTGCACAGGTAGCAGAGCTCCTTCTAGTGGCAACATACAATATTAGATGGCTACACGTCTATACCCCGCACAGAGGCGGGAGCTCCCTCCGGTGGCAGTGGACGGCGATACCCCGCACAGAGGCGGGAGCCCCGCTGGTGGACAGTAATATCCTGCACAGTAGAGTACACTCCCCCTGGTGGAAAGAACCCTGCACAGGTAGCAGAGCTCCTTCTAGTGGCAACATACAATATTAGATGGCTACACGTCTATACCCCGCAAAGAGGAGGGAGCTCCCTGCGGTGGCAATGTACGACGATACCTCCCACCAGCACAGAGGCGTGAGCTCCCTCCGGTGGCAGTGTACGGCGATACCCCACACAGAGGAGCGAGCTCCCTTTGGTGGCAGTGTACGGCGATACCTCCCACCTGCACAGAGGAGCGAGCTCCCTCCGGTGGCAGTGAACGGCAATACCCCGCACAGAGGAGCAAGCTCCCTGCAGGGGCAGTGTACGGCGATACCTCCAACCAGCACAGAGGAGGGAGCTCCCTCCGGTGGCAGTGGACGGCGATACCCCGCACACAGGCGCAAGCTCCCTCCAGTGGCAGTGGACGGCGATACCCTGCACAGAGGAGCAAGCCCCGCTGGTGGACAGTGATATCCTGCACAGTGGAGTACACTCCCCCTGGTGGAAAGAACCCTGCACAGGTAGCAGAGCTCCTTCTAGTGTCAACATACAATATTAGATGGCTGCACGGCGATAGCCCGCACAGCGGAGCGAGCTCCCTCCGGTGGCAGTGTACGCCGATAGCCCGCACAGCGGAGCGAGCTCCCTCCGGTGGCAGTGTACGCCGATACCCCGCACAGCGGAGCGAGCTCCCTCCGGTGGCAGTGTACGCCGATAGCCCGCACAGCGGAGCGAGCTCCCTCCGGTGGCAGTGTACGCCGATAGCCCGCACAGCGGAGCGAGCTCCCTCCGGTGGCAGTGTACGCCGATAGCCCGCACAGCGGAGCGAGCTCCCTCCGGTGGCAGTGTACGGCGATACCCCGCACAGCGGAGCGAGCTCCCTCCAATGGCAGAGTAGGACAATACCCCGCACACAGGAGGGAGCGCTCTCTGGTGGCAGCACAGAGATGTGGTGCAGGCAGTACAGAGCTCCCCCTGCTGGTGAAGTGCAGAAATCACACATGAGGGGGAACTAGACCCGGCACGTGGCTCCCTTCGCCCTCACACAATTCCTCCCATGTTCGCTCACGCCGTACACAGGGTGGAGCAGAGCAGGTCCCTCCCACAGAAGGGTGAGCCCAAGCCGGACACATGCAGCCCCCAGACCCCCCACACACAATGTGCCCGGCTGTATTTTCAGCCCCAGAGCTCACCTTTCCAGCCACCCGGCCGAGGCGCACGATGCCCAGCTTGAAGTCCGTCATGGCCAGTGAAGGAGCGGGATGACACACGCGGTTGCTCGGCGCTCTCTCTCTTCTCACGGACCGGACACAGCAGGAGGAGGCGTGTGTGCCCAGCCGCCGGAGCTCGCGCCTCTACACGCGGGAGTAGCTGGGGGTGCCACGCGCCGCCTCTCCCCCACACGCCGAGCGCGACAGGCTACACCTAGAGCGGGCGGAGCCCCAGCCCCAAGCCGCTCGTACAGCCAATCAGCTTCGCCGTCATGATGGAGACCTCATCGCGCAACCGGCACACGTCAGCCAATCAGGGAGAACAGTGGGCGTGATCGGTCGGTTTCTCTGACGCGAAGGGAGAAGGGGCGGACGATGCCGTTTGGTGACGTTTGTTTCGCGGGAAGCGCCGTGTTCCTCCAGTGATATAATAGCTGGTAGACAAGTGCCGGGGATAAAGGGGGCGGGGCTGAGCCTAATGCGGGGGCGGGGCTGCAACTACTGCCCTCCTTTAGAAGAGTCTGGTTAGGTGATATGGTAAAGCTCTGCCTCCGCTGGTGAGACGGTGACCCCAGACAAGGGAGCCTGCGCACTCCAGTCACACCAGTCAGCAGACACGTTCTCAATGAGAGGACCAACTTCTTGAAGAAACAAAGGCAGCCAGGCAGCTGGTATTTCCACTGATCAGCCATAACATTATGACCAGCCACCTAACATCAAGTAGGTCCCTCCTCTGCCCCCAAAACAGGCCTAACCCCTCAAGTCATGGACTCCACTGGACCTGTCATTAGTAAAGGGGTGCACAAGCCTTGCACATTACCTCAATAAAAACTTTACTCACAAAATGTAGCAGATGTATTCTCACAAACAAATGTACCCAGGAATATCATGACGGGAAGTAGTCCATGGTCTGAAATGATGCAAAAGTCCCACAAGCAAAAAGGACGCTCGAGGAGCGAACCCCTCTTCATCAGGCTCTTCATCGCTCATCAAAACGTGTCAGCCATTGTCAAGCGTCCTTTTGCTTGTGGGACTCTAGCACCATTTCAGCCCATGGACTATTTCCCGTCATGATATTCCTGGGTACATTTATTGTTTGTGAGAATACATCTGCTACATTTTGTGATTAAAGTTTTTATTGAGGTAATGAGCAAGGCTTGTGCACCCCTTTTCTTTTTAGTGCCATATTGGGCTACCCCAGGCCTTAGGGGGCTGCACAGCACTGCCTCATTGGATTGCTAAGGTCTATGATGAACCTTACACATATACCATATCTGGTCCTTAGAGCTCAGGAGGGTTTTTTTCTCTTCTTTTTGGTGACAAAGCCATTAGTGGCAGATCTGTAAGTTGGGAACTGGAGCCACCATGGATCTGACTTGTTTTTTCAGCACATCACACAGATGCTTGATTGGATAGAGAGCTGGAGAATTTGGGGCTGAGTGAACACCTCCAACTTGTTGTGTTCCTCAAACCATTCTTGAATTCATCAGACCAGGCCACCTTCTTCTATTGCTCCATGGTCCAGTTCTGATGCTCATTGTGCCTATTGTGGGCACTTTTGGCTGTGGATATGGGTCAGCATGGACACCCTGTCTGGTCTGCAACTACACAGCCCCATACATAGCAAACTGCAATGCAATGTGTGCTCAGACACCTTTCTATCAGAACCAACATTCACTTTTTCAGCAATTTGAGCTACACCAGCTCTTCTATTGGATCAGACTACATAGGCCAGCCTTCCCTCTCTTTGTAATACAATCTTCATGTATTTTGTGCTATAACTACATTTTTCAGTAGAAATATATTCTTCAACCAGTAGATGGCTGTGTATTTAGGTTTGGGGCTGCATTTATGGTATACTGTACTCTGTCTTTTCTCTGAAGAACTTTCCTGTTTGCTTGTTACAGTGAAGTAACAATGTGGACTGTGCACCAGGGGTGGACTGACAATTCATGGGGCCCCTGGGCAATAGGGGATCATGGGGCCCCTGTGTCCTCGCCCACATCCAAAAAAGCCAATGAAAGGTACCAGGGGCATCTCATGGGGCCCCCTACTGAGTCCAGGCCCTCGGGCGGTGCCCGAGAGCTTGAATGGTCAGTCCGCCCCTGCTGTGCACTGTATGTTATATAGGGCTTTATACAGAATTTCTAACAGGTTATAAGCCCAAGGATAGCCAGCTACAGTAAATAAGTGCAAGATACAACAACAGAAAGAAGACTGCAACAGAATAAAAGAAAATGGCCAGTAACACAGCTGCAACAAAGCTTTCATTTGCAAATCTGACAAACCAGAACTACCAGTCTTGGAAATTCAAGATGAAAATGCTGCTAATAAGAGAAGGTATGTGGAAATATATAAATTAAGTCAGGCCAGAACATCCTTCAGATGAGTTGCTAGAGAAAGATTAGAAAGCTCAGAGCACAATCTCTCTTAGAATAGAAGATGACCAAATCATACATATATGTAAGTGTGAAACTGCTAAAGAAATGTGGGAAGGATTACAAAAGATGAATGAAAAAAATCTAATCTGAGCAATAAACTGTATTTGATTAGAAAGCTATAGCAAACCAAGCCAATGAAAGGCCAGGATATTCAGGATTACATAAAGCATACCTTTGAAATGGTTGAACATCTGAGAGATATAGAAGAAATAAAAGATGTTCATGTTGCAGCACTATTACTTTGTGGTTTACAAGAAAGTTATGAAATGCTTGTCATAGCACTTGATGCACTTCCAGATGATGAACTGACATTGGAATATGTTAGGAGTAGGCTTATGCATGAATACAAGTGTAATACAGAAAGCATTAATTGTGACAGTGCTTCTGTTGCAGAGTCTGCTTTAATGTTACACATACACTGAAACTTCCATAGACGTTTACTGGAAGCAGAAAATGGCTAAACATGGCAAACACTTAGATGTTTATTTCATTGGCCAGAGTATTTGACATTAAAATGAATAAATCCCCAAGCGCTAAATGCAGCTAGTACCTAGTTGTGCTTACACGTTTTTGCTGCATTTGGCATTTTTTTGGGCCACAAAGTTCCTCTCCTGAACACAATTCTTCTGCATTCAGTAGAGGGATGGTTAACTGCCCCTAAACTCTGGTAAAAGCCTATGTGAGCATGGACACAGGCTTTTATTGAGTTGAGTTCATGGGCTTTGGCAAAAAGAAAAAAAACCCACCAAAAGCTCCTGAACTTACGCTTAGAAGCAGCAGTGTACATGAGGCCTTAAGATGAAAAATAGGAATGAAAACAGTAATATGCAACAAAAACCGTGAATACTTTGTGTGCAAGAAACAAGGCCAATTAACCACTTCCCAACTGCCCTATAGCAGATATACTGCTACAGGGTGGCACGGGTGCGCACAAATCAGGTGTATATATATGTGATTTTGCATTTCCGGGTAGGGAGCGTTCTTGTGCCCTACCCGTGCTGCCATTCGTGGCCGTGGCTGTCAATCACCAGGTGCCGGCCGGTGATTTCCGACGGGGAGAACTGTAAACAAAACAGTTCTCCCTGTCAGCTTGTGCACACTGCTTTGGATGGCTGTGCACAGCACAGCCATGCAAAGCAGTGTGCTTACAGTGAAGCACACGGACACAGCATATAGTAAAACAACACACATTTAACCCTTTGATTGCCCCTCATGTTAACCCCTTCCTGCCCAGTGCCATTTGTACAGTGTCAGTGGTTTATTTTTTAGCACTGATCACTGTATTGATGTCACTGGGGATGTCAGGGACACCAAGTCATTTCCCCCTAGTGTCAGAATGCCTGCCACAGTCCCGCTATAAGTCGCTGATTGCCGCCATTACTAGTAAATGAAAAAAAAAAAATTCCAGTATATATACCGCCATTTGTAAACGCTATAACTTTCACATAAACCAATTAATTTACACGTATTGGGATTTTTTTTTTAGCAAAGACATGTAGCAGAATACATTTTGATTTTTTTAATTTTTTTACTGGACATGTGTAATAGCAAAAAGTCCAAAATATTGTTTTTTTTTTCTCAAAATTGATAGTCTTTTTTTTTTTATAGCGCAAAAAATAAAAACTGCACAGGTGATCAAATACCACCAAAAGAAAGCTCAATTTGTGGGAAAAAAGGACGTAAATTTCATTTGGGTGCAGCGTTGCATGACCATGCACTTGTCCGTTAAAGTAACGCAGCACTGTACCACGAAAAATGGCCTGGTCCGGAAGGGGGTTAAATCCTCAGGAGGGCAAGTGATTAAAAGCAGATTGCAGAATCTGGAAAGCAAGAATGCAAAAACAAATTAAAACTACTATAGGCCAAAAGGAATTTTTCTATAGATAATGAATTTTTTTCAGTCACCTCATCTTTGCATTCATAGTATGTAGATTCAGGAGCTGCGAGTCATATGACAAATGACAGAAGTTTCTTTATTTACCTTGACCAGAGTAAAACAGAAAAAATCACCACAGCTAATGGGCAAATAGTGGAATCAGAAGAAATAGGAGACCATTTTTTACTGCCCTATTTACCAGAGTGTCACCAGAAAGATATCTGTGAAAAATGTCCTGTGTGTCCACCCCCTCTTGAAACTTATCTTTTGTCAGTGAAGAAGCTCACAGAACAAAGCAATGTCCTGACCTTCCAAGATTACAACTGTGCTATCACAAAAGGGGATATCTTACTTGCAAAGGCTAAAATTACAGATGAACTGTATCAGCTGAGCTACAATGAGGCGGTTAATACTGCCAAGGAGGAAAAACATTCAAACTGCATTCACACATGGCACAGACGTCGTAACATAATAAAGAAATGAACTGAGAATGACTATGCAAGTGGAGTTGTCAGGGCTCCAGGTATGACCAGAGGTGTGTGGACCGACACAGGGAAACACAGACTTCAGGTATAGCGTGTAACACAATATAATTTATTAAAGACAACACAAACATAAACGCAGTGCAAACAATCAAACTCAACACTTACATAAATATGTACAACCAGGTGCAATAAACCTTACCTTAAACGAATAGGTACCAGTGCAGTCAGGGC